ATATACCACCACGTGCTACAAAACGTTTTAGTCAAACATTTAACGGACGTTCGAAAGCCTGATGACGTCATCAGATTTAAGTGCCTATACCAATACATTGTGGCACTTATTTGCACAGATGTCAAAATCAAACTCAAATTTCTTTACGATGAAGTAATTGCTGGAGAAACGGTTTTCACGGCACTGATTTTCAAAGAACGTCCATCAAGATGGCTATCTCAACTCAAATCTAATGTTAAGGTGGGACAGTCCCTTTAAGCACGAGTTTATAAATGAACGAGGGAAACGATTTCATTTATAAACGAGTGCTTAAACAAGTCGAGCGTGACATAACACATTTAAATGACTTTTTCTGCCGAGACGTCAATTAAACGCTGCCATCTTTGACAAATCATTGTGCAAGTGGCGCTGCTTTTAGATCGGTACAAAAGGAAGGATGGAGTTGTTAGTAAAAGAAAAACTGTTTTGAGCATTTGCATTTAATAACGTTGGAAACAATACAATTTTCTGTTTTCTTTCTTCCCTTCACGCAAGGGGAAAATGTGGGAAACCGGGGTTGTGGGCGGGGTATGGCGGGGGACATTTATAACTAGGTACATAAGTGCGTGAATAGAAGTCGCAATCACATTTAAGAAAATATCAAGTTTGAGAATGCATTTGTTAGCCATTTTCGACAGGGAGCTAAAGGTACGGTACAAAATATGATAAGATTTTCGGAGCGTACCTGCTAAAAGCTTCATTTGCACATCTTTATTCAACCGGTAGAACTGGGCATTTTCTTTACTAAGTTAGAAAAACCTTTAATTGATTGATATCTACGCAATTTCTCGCCATTAAATCGGCAAAGACGTATCCAATAAGCCAGTGGTCTATAAAGATAATATAAACAATGCATCATACAGCTATGTTAAGGCCTTAATTGAATCCATACCTGGGGTCAATAAACCCAAAGTCGTTTGAATAATATTTGTGCACTATGTAGTGCATACATATCCAGCATTGCTTCAGCATTGATTGACCTTATTTATCTGCATCCGGCACCTCCGATTTTAAAGGATTTCCTTCAGCATTGTCGAGGCGGCAAAAGTCATTTACCTAAATGTCGTTTAATTCGAGGCGGATCTTCTGACATCAACCACATTTTCAGGTCAGGTAAAGTCGATGGTGGTCGAGAAGGTGGAGGACTCACGGTCGTGTCCCCCCCCCCCCCCGGTGCGAGTGTCATTTAAGCGAACGTCATTTGAGCGAACCATTTTCAGCGACTGGCAACTTAGCGAAATAGCGAATATCAAATTCAGCGATTATCAAATATAGCGATTATCAATTTGAGCGATTAGCACTTTAACCGAAAGCTATGTTTCAGCGACATCTATTTCGTCGACTACAGTTTGAGCGACTGTCATTTCAGCGAAACACTTCATCGTCCCGTAACGGTGTAGTTTTTTTTTCTTACTTTTGCGAGCGTAGTTACGTACAACGAATGTTTCCGGAACTTTTCATGGCTATCCGGAGGGCGGAACTGGATGGCGGATGTCACGTTCAAAGCTCAGACATTAGGCTCCAAATTTAATGTCACATTTCTCAAGAATTCCAGTGGTTCGATTTCACCCCCCCCCCCCTGCTGTTTGCCAATAATGGTGACCAAACGTTTGTTCAGAGATTCATTTTGTTTGTGCTATTTTTCGCGAAATTCCCCCGCTTGAATTTCGATCAGTTCCCCATGTTGTAAAATTTGTTCTTTCCCCAAAGCAACGTACGAATTTCCAGATATTTGGGTGAGGTCCCTGAAACATAGACTGGATCCCCCTGTGCCATCCCTCGAGTTTATTATTGGTCCTTGGCATTCCTTCCGTCGTCCTATCTCTCACGTTCCACATTTCCAGATCAAACTTCAAAGTTGCAGAATGAGGCCAGATATTTTTGTGGTTTCCAAGCTTAAAAGCGCCGTGCGCAGCTTGAAGCATGACACATACCATTTACCAAGCGGGTATTCAAAGGGCAAGAATTCCCGAAAAGGCGAAAAGTAGCAAATGATTGACTTCCGTCGCGTTCGGTTTCGCTGTAACTGTATTCGCTCAATTAGCCCCCCCCCCCCATTGACCTCCATATATTCGCTCAAACTTGTTTCGCTGATTCTGGTCCTCGCTTAATAATAATTCGTATTCGTTTCGGGCTACACTGAGATAAAAACAATTGTGTAGCCCGAAACGAATACGAATTACTATAATTTACCTGAGGAAGATTAGAAATGACACTTCGTCAGTCCTCGCTTAAGTTGATAATCGCTGTGATTGAATTCGCCGACTTGACAATCGCTGAAAAAGTCAATCGCTTAACCCGCGCGGGGCTGGAGGGGGGGGGGTAAATTTTACCCCCCTCGCGATCTTTTGCAATATCTCAAAAACGGCGGCGCGCAGCGCCGCCAAACTTTCAGTACCTTTTCTTACATCAATTTGACACGTTCCCTGAAAATTTTAGCGAAATCCGTCGGAAATTTTTTGAGAAATTGACGTTTTAGTGACGTCATGTTCGCCATTTTCGCCTCAAAAACGGCAAAATTTCAAACGCCGCTAACATCTTAAATTTTTTTTAAAGGAATCAAGACGTAACAAAAAAGGGTTATACGTAATTCTACTTTGGTTATCAAATGGCTATCTCGGTTTTTGAAAATTTTGGTTTTTGGTCCAAATTTTTCCAAAAAACTGACTTTTTTGGGAAAATAATTATAAAATCCAAAATTTGAGTGTATAAAAAAACCGGAATATATGTCAGAGAAGTGGTCTATGTGCACCTACATACCAATTTTTAGAAGAATCGGTTCAAAAATGTGGGAGTTATTAAACATTTTATGACGTCACGACACACAACAAATTTTAAAAATGATTTTGTGGAAGTTCTAGACCTCGTACGGAAACAAAAATAGCACCATTCGATTTGCCGTGAAAAACTGCATCAGATAGACACATTTTTAGGCCTTAACAACCAACTTCAAAACTTGACCTCACTTGACCTGAACTTGACAGTTGACCTGACCTCGACCTGAAATTCATCCAGAGGTGGTCCATATCACTTATTGAGTGTGCCTATTGAATTATATGAGTAAAATGACCCATAAAACATGTGTTGCACATGCCCTTTTCTATATTTTGTTTTTGGTGACCTGACCTGACCTTGACCTTGACCTTGACCTCTGAATGATATTGTATGCAACGAATATTGTCTTGGTAGCCTAAGAACACGTTTTGGGCACAAGTCAATGGAGAAAAATGAAAATGCCTCTAGATCCGTGTGTACGCATAGGAACAGTCCAAATATTTCAGAAGCACAATGATTTGGACCACCCGTGATGACCATGGTGTCATTTTTGCTGATAGCCTCTAGAAAGGTCATCCGAGGTCATTTTGAGGCTACAAACCGATTTTTGCCAATAACTCACGATTGGAAAGAGATAGAGCGCTTGGTATGGTCTCATTGTGTTTGTCTTGTCCAGACGCATCGACTGATATGCAAAATGACCTTTTCCGGTCAGGTCATGATCTTGACCTGAGGTCAAATTTTCAAGTTGACCTTTCAAGGTCAAATTATAGTTCATTCGACGCGTCTCGGTGAGAGGAACACGATTCTGGCAATAGAAATGTCGTGGCTTTTTGTAGTAGAAAGTTATTGTCGAAAAACACTTTTCGTAAAAACAGCTATTTTTGGAGTTTTTGCCCTCTGGAGGCTAAACCGTTGACCTGAGGTCAATTTTGATTATGACCTCATCAAAAGAAGAGTTCAAAAGCTATCGATTGCTTTTCCATGCGTTTTTCTAGCTACCATAGTTCCTGAGATAACGGCATGTTTTCTGAAAAATATAATGGCAATTGACAAATTTTGACCTTTGATGACCTCTGGTGACCCCAATATTGCTCTAAGATGAAAAATGACTGAATACTTTCAAACGTACGCATTGAGAGCTATCGACTGCTTTTAACCGCGTATTTCTAGCCCTCTTAGTTTTTGAGTTAGAGGTGGGTGGTAACATATACCTATGCCCCCCCCCCCCCCCCACACTAGGGCGAAGTTGGCTGAGACCGCCACTGGGGCGCGGGCTAAATTGATAATCGCTGAAAAGGCTTCGCTCAAATGTCTTTCGCTGAAATGACGGCTGACGCTCGCTCAGGTGTCCCAGACCCCCCCCCCCCCCTCCCCACCAACCCCAGTCCCCAACATCACATCACAGGACCGTCATACCTATAGATATCACATGCCCCGCCCCGCCCGAACAACTGATGAGCCACCATGGGCGTATAAGGTCGTGGCCCTTGGTCGATTATCACGAGGGTCAAAACTCAATCAAAACCCCAAACCGCCGGCTTTTTACGGCCCCACACCGGTCTTGGAGGCCCTAGGGCTAGACCCCCCCACACTGCCCACTGGCCTCTGAGGGCCATAGACTGGTTTGTAAGGGTCTCTGGCCTCTGATGACCCACGTCGACGTCTGAGGGTCAGAGTTCCACACTGGCCTTCCATGGGCCATGCCCTGTGTTGGCTTCACTGGCTTCAGATTGCCAAAAACGGCCATCTGAGGCCCTAAACCAGCCTCCAAGGGCCTTTAACGGCCTCATTTCGGTCTCTAATGGCCTCATTTCGGCCTCATTTCGGTCATACCGCCCATACCGGTCTTTGAGAGCAGCGCAAAGGCCTATAAGGTCAGAGGGCCATATCTGGCCCTTTGGCCTCTGAGTTCTGACTGTGGTCTGTGGCGTGCGATGCAAACCGCGGTGTTGGTATTCAAAGAAGTGTGAATAATCTATATTCCGGAAAAAAAGCTACAATTATTTCCATTTTTTAATTAAACAAATCAAAATCAAACACCCTAGTACTAGTTGTGAAAGCAGGACGATCAGCAAATTTTCCTTCAGGTCTTTCATTTAGTGGCTGCTTTCGACAATGGAAATGGCATATATGGCGCATGTGTTGCAATTTCCGGAAGATAATTTGTTGTTGATTGATAGGAGATAATAGCGCTCGCTCCTTGCTCTCTTTATTCTCCAGTGTTTTGTGCTGAGTTTTTTTTTTCAGATCTGACGATTAATACATCCTTGTATTGAGCCAAGATTTTATTGCATTCAGAATTTGATCCAAACCGTAATCTGGATACAACTTTGAAAAACGGTATGCATGGTAATGCACGCCTATTGCAGTTGCTGAGGCAGTTCAATTAATGTTCTCAGGCCAGTTTTACCAACAGAAAAATAGCCGCCTGCTGGAATTTTTTGCCTAAAGACCACTTCACATATGGAACATAAAGGATAAAGCTCTATCCGCTTACATCCCCATCATGTTTATGCTCCGTACGTGAAGCGGTCTTCAGGTAAAATAAAATCAGGCAGGCGGCTATTTTTCTGTTAATTAAACTGGCCTCTGTTTTCATTTTCCGCTTTACAACCTTATTAGGTGTATCGACTGGTTGTCAAGCTCATCTATCACTTTTGCTAAATACATTGACTGAAAGCTTGTTGACAGAATTGTGGATCACGATAAATGATGTAATGGTGGTGCTAAGGAAAAGTGTGCCTAGGTTCCTGCCTACCCTGGCCCATACACACTGTGCCTATTTTGACAGAGCTATTGAGTGGACATATGTATCAATTAAGAAGCATAAAGCTACTGAATGATACAGTATCTGATACACTGATAAATTGCACTAATTGATACACTATCTGGATTCTGGAAAATGTTACTCTGCTTTAAAATCACTACTTACAAAAAGTATTTGTAACTGTTGAAACGTGAACAAAAACATTCTCCAAAACTTTGTTGCTGTTTTGGTTTCACATAGGATGAAGCTATGTTATTTAAGGAAAAGTTTACTTTGATTTTCATAGCAATGGATAAAGGAGGAAAATCTGAGGAATTAGCTAGGAAGCGAAATCTGAGGATTTAAAAAATGAAAAACAGCCTTGGGGAGAATGCTGGGTCCCCTGCCATCCAATTTTCTGTTTACTGGAGCTTTAAGGACATGATAACCACAATAATTATTCTGCACCCAATACCACCTTTCTGGATCCACCATTGAGTCATTGACCTTAGTTGATACCACAGTGGTTGACTTGGGGCATGGATGCAATACCAAACTAGGCTGGCTTGAAGTAATGTTGCATGAAAACCATTAACCTGCTGGTTTGGCTCATTGTTTATGAATGATAACCTAATCAGTGTTTGGATCTTCTGTACAGCTGTACATCTTTAATCAGAATTACAGTTGCAACTACGTATAAGGCATAGTTTAATTTTTTTTTATAAATTTAGCTCGAATGTTTGAATGGACGGATTGACAGAGCCGGAGCCCACGCTAAGCGGAGCTTGTTGCGTAGACCCCGACCCCTACCGTCCGATCGCGCAATTCCGGGTAACGGGAGAATTTAGATGCCAAAGTTTAACGTGCCCTTCAAAGCCGGACACGGCCTGTCCCACTCAACTGACTTCAACTGGCTGCGGATGCTCCCACCAACCGCAGACCATCCCCGTCAGGAGTCTCAAATAACGAGCGCCGGAGCGTCTCGAACCCGGGCTCTCACTACCGGGAGTCCGATGCTCTACCAACTGAGCTACGGGACAGGCTTGATTGTGGTCTTGCACACCAACCTCTGGTGTCATGTCATGTCATGTCATGTCATGTCATGTCATGTTTGAAGCATGAAAATTACTAATGCTTGTTGGTTGCCTTACATAACTTATGTATATGGAGTTGTTTGGATGTATTGATGGTCAATTTTGGGGGTTTTATTGCTGTTTTTCCTAATTTTGATGCTATTGAAGAAGCATGATTAGCAACTTTAACAGCTTACACTGATGGAAGTGCTTTCACCAAGGTACCTGAAGGACTAGGAGAGCCAAATAATTTCTATTTAGAGGTATAAGGTGTTCAAGAAAAATGGAATAGGATACTTATCTAAATGAAAGCACTAACCTCTCCTAAAACATATATTCCCACAATGTCATGTATCCTTTTCCTACACACACGTGTGAATAGAAATTTGTGATAAGCTAGGTGGTGCTAGGCTAACCTTATAACTCATAGGTAATGCCCTTATGACAGTTTTGTCACTAGTTGTGTGTGCCGCAGTGTCGCCATGATCGGCAGTCCGGCCGTGGTCAGCGCGCGACTGTCGCCGAGCCCGTCGCCGTGTCCGTCGCCCGTGCTGCGGCGGCGACAGTCCGCCGCCAGCCGAAACGTCGCCGCGGACCCGGGGTCGCACTGCGGCTCCACCGGCCAGGGCCGCTTCGAGCACTTCCCGGCCGACGACCCCGCGCAGCAGGCTGCCGGCGAGCGGGTGCGTCGAAAGCTGCAGTTCTTCTTCATGAACCCGATCGAGAAATACCGCGCTCGGAAGAAGCTGCCATTCAAGCTGAGCCTTCAGATATTCAAAGTGGTGCTGATCACTATCCAGCTAAGCTTGTTTGCCACAAGCCGGCTTGCCCATGTCAGCTTTCTGGAGAACACCCAGTTCTCGCTGGATCACCTCTTCATCCTGGGCTGGGATGTGACGCGTGAGGTGAACGTCTACCCTCCCGGCGCCGGACCGCTGGCCGTCTACTCGCAACAGAGCTACTTCGAGACGCTCGACTTCGCTGTGAATGCCTACCACGACCTGGACAACCTGACGGTGAGCGGGATCGGCTACACGGACGACACAGTGCCGCCGGTACGCCTCTGTCTGAATGGGTATCGTCGCGCTCGTGTCTTCCCAGCCAATCTGTCGTACGCTTTCGACGCGCATGTGCGCCAGCGTTGTTTGGATCTGAGGCCAACCCCTGTAGAAATACAAAACCACAATTTCTCCACGCGTGCTTTCCTTGGTAAGCACGACTTCAATGTGTCCTTTGTCGCCCTGACGCGCACCACGCTGTCGTTCGCGCTGAACGCCGTGCGCCTGAAGGAGATGATTCCGGCCAACGAGCCGGACTGCTACCGGCTCCAGGCGGCGTTGGTGCTCGAGAACGGCGGTCAGGACGGCAGGATGCTGGTCAGGATGAATGTAGAGTCGCACCTGAAGCCGTGCAACGGCAACCTGGAAACCAGCGGCGGCGGCGCCCCGCTGAAGGTGTTCTTCACGATCATCAGCTCTCTGGTCATTGTGGTCTGTATTTCTTCTTTCGCTATGTGCATGCGTTCCATGTATCGAGCACAGCTGCTACGAATCGAGACCGTGTCTCTGTTGCACGAACATTTTGAATACGACCTGACCTACGAGGAACAGTTGCGCTTCCTCAATCTTTGGTACGTCCTCATCATCATCAACGACGGACTGATTGTTTTCGCGTCTCTCATCCATATCCAGCTGGATATAGACTTGATCCCGTCTCCTATTGGTGTCGAGACCTGGAACTTGTGTGCCGTGGTGCTGGGGGCCGGCAACCTCCTCGTCTGGGTAGGCATGCTGCGCTACTTCAGCTTCTTTAAATCCTACAACGTCCTGATCCTGACAGTGAAGAGCGCCATGCCGAGCGTGCTGCGATTCTCGGTGTGTGCAACTATTTCCTATGCCGGCTTTGTCTTCTGTGGCTGGCTCGTTCTGGCGCCATATCATCTCAAGTTCCGCACCATTAGCAAGACTTCCGAGACGCTATTCTCGCTGATGAATGGGGATGACATGTTCGCGACCTTTGCTCAGGTTTGGCCTCGGTCCAGCATGATTTATTGGTTCTCAAAGCTTTACATCTACGTATTCATTTTCTTCTTCATCTACGTCGTCATCAGTCTTATGATTTCGATCATCATGGACTCGTACGAGACCATCAAGGCCTTCTACCGCGACGGGTTCCCGATGTCGCCGCTGGACGAGTTTCTGGCGGTGCGCCGCTCGGCTCCCGAGACGGGCGTGTACCGCGAGGACGAGGACGACTGCTCGCTGCGCCAGCTGTGCTGCTGCGTCCGCCGGCGCGGCGACGCCGACCGACAGCCCATCATCGCTGCGGTGGACGACAACGGCGTCACGGCGGAGCCGCCGCTGCTCCGGACGCCGCAGGATCACGACGCTGGCGACATTACCGTGTGAGAACTGTGACGCACCAGCTCCGACTGAGGTCTGGCTGAGACAGCCAGCGCCCGTCGGTTCAGTGAGGTACGAGAGCTTTCAGCACAAGCGTCAGAGGACATCGCGTGACAGGCACGTGACGATGCCTTGTTGCCAAAGAGGTGTGACCTGAGCATAAAGTGTTTATTATCCCAACGCTTTTACCCATCGTGTGCGTGGTTGGCTGTTTCTTGTAATCGATGTGTACGATAAGTTATAACTCAGACTTACTTTACCTGTATTTTACATGCGTACCTGTATTCCTAAAATACGTGATTTGGGCTTATGTACGTGAACGTGTTCTTTTGAAGATTAATGATGTTCCTTTTTCATACATCGTTTTCTTTTAGAATTAGACAACGGTAATTTGTTTTACATTCAGCAATTTTCGTTGAAAAATTTCTATTTTTGGAAGCGGATGGATGACTAAATGTTCGCTGCTTTTTAAAAAAATAATTTAGGCTCAGATTGAAGTTCATGCCTTTTGCCATTTTAAAACTTTTTAATGGTTTATATTCCGTTATATTTGACGCTAGCAGACGCCAGGCCATGTCCTGTGAAACACTCAGCGGTGTATGTTCGCCAGCCTGACGACTTCACGTATTGGCTGTGTCATGTGTGCCCGGTACTTGGTAGACCAGATACCGCTTCACCTCCGAGATAGTCAAGATCCATCACCCAGGGAGTTGCGCTCTGCAGAGCTGGGCAAGTGCGTTCCTTTAGTGCGCTCCTGCGTTCTTCCGTACGTACGCACCGCCCTTTTTAGGAACGCAAGAACGCAGGAACGCAAAGTTTTTCAAAGGAACGCAAGTAAGAGGAACGCACCACCCGAAATTTTGAAGCGTTCCTGCGTTCTTGCGGAACCACCCGAAAAAATCATATTGCTGCCAAAGACCTCTGTGTCAAATGTTTGAATCTCGAGTACGTGTGTTTGCCGGTAGAGGCGCCACTTGTCGGTCGAATCGAGGAAGGCTTGTTTAGATTTAGTGGTGATGTTCACTATTCGATTCGGTTTCAGGCATCAAATGTGTAATGGAAATATGATAACTTTTACTTAGATACATCTTTCAACTTAACTATTGTTTTTAAGCAGGTCGTATTTTTGTTGAAAACCCTACGGATGATATTGGTAAAACGTATTTCAGATATTCGATTCGGAAAAGAGATGTCGAGTTGCTTTTCGGCCCCGCGTCGCCATTCTGGGTATTCTGTGATCGATTCGCCCCGTGTTTGGTTGGGCCCGCGCCGCGTGGTTCGGCGGTATTTCTTTGTCCACGACTTCGGTTGTGAAGAACACGCCTGTAGTGTTGGACTGGCGCGATTTGCCTACTTTGTCCGCTACAGTGTTGCGTTGCACTGATTTTGGTATGATTTGCTGCTTGGTAGAGCCAGAATACAATACGGGTTAACAGTTTGGGACGCAGGAACGCAGGAACGCTAACGCACCGAGCGAAAAAAATTGAGGAACGCTATTCCAGGAACGCACTAACCGCGGCCGGGGGAACGCAGGAACGCTAACGCACTACCGAAAATCGAGGAACGCGCCCAGCTCTGGCGCTCTGTAACGTAGGACGTATGTTCAAGGTTAATCGACCATTTGCGGTGCATGTCTTTCCGGTAGTAAAACTCTGAGTTGTGTCTCAAATCTGTATGTTCACTGCCGATGCACTCAAATACTGATGCCGGCAGAATCGGGTATTATTTCATTTTGATTAATTCTCATCATCGGGAACACTATGCTGTGGGTATGGTGGATATGGTATGGTGGATATGGTAGAATAGATAATTGTCACTCGTGTGCTTTGTGTTGGAACCCGGAAGATGTGTGGCGTCTATGCATGCTATGTTCCAATATACCCAGAATCATCTACAGCTCGTGTTCTCTCCTTCCAACTACCTACTTCACGTAACATCGGTGCGAGATCGGTTACACCTCGTAAATGTAGGTAGACTGCAGAGTCATATGAAAATGGACCAAACGGGGCTACTATCGCTGGAGAACTTAGGCATCTGAGCTGGACCGAAACAACCAGATCTGGCCCAGTAACATCGCGCTGCGACTTGCAGCTAACACACTGCTGGAGCCTGGACAGCCGGATCAATTGACAAGAAGTGGAAGGGGAGGGGGGAAGATCGTTGAGGCCAGTGCCATCACAACCTTTCGAAACGGCGTGAGCTTCACCTCGTCCACGTACAGTCTGTCTTAAAAGTACCGCGCAAAGTGACGGTGGATCCATCAAGCCTGACCGAGGGTCACCGAAGTCTGAACCAATTGACCTGGGGAATGGACGAGACGAGGATGTCAATTGCTTCGGTGACTCAAATTTAGCACTCCTTCCTCGGTTAGTCTTATGGATCCACCGTTACTTTGCGCGGTACTTTAAAGACAGACTGTACAGGGGCGCAGTCAAGGGGTAGGGGGGCACACTGGGCTTTAGTCCCTCCCAAATACCTATAGCAAGCATAGCAAGCGCCTTTCAAGACCATATCGGGGCGCCGAATGCCGCTGCGCCTAAAAACCGGCATTGCTCTTTGGAGTAAAACCTCACAATATTTATGCACTATGCAGTCCACAGCTTTTTATGATAACGACATGGAGTACCTAAGATCAACCCATGATCTTACCAGAGTAGAGACCAGAGGCGGATCCAGCTCAGAGTTTGGGGGGGGGGCAAACCATAATTTATCGATTCTTTCCATGCCTCGTCCACAGGCGTAATATTAAAATTATGCCGTTTGGGGGGGGGCAAATGCCCATTTTGCCCCCCCCCCCCCTGAATCCGCCACTGGTAGAGACGATAGGGTGGTTTGGTATCTAATAAAGACTATCTTGAAGGATCTCAAGTGGTGATCTTGTCGATGATGAAAAAGACTGCCAGTGCCGTGACGTCATTGGCTCGATAACGATGTGATGATGTTATTTTTCAAGTACCTTGCGTACACTGAACTCTATTACCGGGGTTACATGAGCGATCCGTTCCAAATACGCCCTACGCTAATGCGCATCAGCTCCCCACAAACGGATCTACGGCACCGGTTACATGAGACTAATTCGTTTTATCTACGTCAAACGGATCTTGTTTGGCTCACCCGGGCTGACTCCTCGACGGCCGGTAATTCGCATCACAAACGGAATAGGATTAGCGTACAGTCATGGCGCAGTTGTGGCATTTACCGGGACGACTGAGCTAAATTTTTAATAATTATATCATTTGATAGGCTCAAAAACATTTAAAATTAACATGAAATCAAAAAATGAAAACAAAGTTTTCTTGTTTTAAGTCAGTGGGCACTGATTCGCCATGCAGCGACAGCAGGGTGGTCAGAAAAAATTATCTATCAAAATATTTCATTCATTTTATTTCACATGCAAAGACTAAACCAAAATACCAACATTTTTTTGCTATATTCTACGAGGCAGCCAATAAAAAAAATGCTTAGTATTTTGCATTTTGACGCTTCCAGTCAGCAAAGAATAGTTCTTGTGAAATACGGCCCGAATCGTGTGCCTCGGACGTTTCGGTTACATGAGCGATCCGTTCCAAATACGCACTATCGCTAATTCGCATCAGCTCCCCAAGAACGCATTCAGTGCACCGACTACATGAGCAAATTCGTATCAGTGACGTCAAACGGATCTAGTTTGGCTCTCGGCCCGATGCGCATTACAAACGGAATAGTATACAAATGTGGCGCACTTCCGTAGCAATAGAGGTGACTAAATTAAAAATTTATTATCTTATGTCTTTTTTGCATTTAATCTGCTCAAAACATTCTCATTTAACTTAACAAAAAAAAGTTGAACATAAAGTCGTCTTGCTTTGACTCATTGGGCAATTGCCTCTCTTGATTCGTCTGTAGTGCTGTCAGAAAAATGTTTCAACTGAAATTATGTGGATATGTACTATTTGGTTTTCACAATATTTATTGTTGAAAACTTGACAATATACCGACATATTTTTTAAATATTATTTCAAAAGAAGAAATTGAAAAAAATACCTATTATTTTGCATTTTAATGTTTCTTTTTGCAAAGAAATAGTTCCTGTAATACGTATCTTGGTCCTATTCGCTTCTAAGCCTGTTTCTCAGCGGATTTTGTTCGGACCGCCGATTCGTATTAGCAGGTGGATACATGAGTCGGTAGTACGCTCCTGATTCGCATTAGCGGTGAATCCGATCGTGATACGTATTTGCTTTGCTCATGTAACCGCGGATCGGATCGCCGATTCGTACTAGCAGGTGGCTACATGAGTCGGTAATGCGTTCCTAATTCGAATTAGCGGCTAAATACGTATTTACTGTGCTCATGTAACCCCGATATATAATGTGGAATGCGCATCGGCCGCCAAATGGTGTCCAACGGTGCCGCCATGTTGCGCAGACCAGAAAGCGGCCGCCGCCTGTGCTGGGGAATAGGGAATTCGGGACCTCGATTTACGTTTGCGGTCGCTGCATCCGTTACGTTCAAGCTATGTGGACACGGAACCCGGCATCTTACGCAGAATTGAGTGGAGAACAAGATGAAATCCTAAAAAATCCTCAGCTACAAGGAACTAATACGTTAAACCCTTATAAGTCAATGGGGAAATATGAAAATTGCTATTTTGGCGCCGAGAATGATCTGAAACTATCTCAAGCATATAGAATCATGATTTCATGCACTTTTTGCAAGGTTCTATGCTTCATATTTGCATTGTTGCCCTTGCGTGACGTCATCTGTGACGTCACAAGGGTCACAATTTTTCTTCAATAACTTCCGATCAAATTGAGCTAGCGAGTCGGGAAAGCCACCAATGGACTCAGGAAGACCTGCCGAATCGAATGATATGCGACATGACCTCTTTCGACCAACTTCGTGACCTGGGGTGCTGACCTGACCTTGACCTGAGGTCAACACCCTAAGTTGACCTGACCCGAACAAAAAGTATATCACTCAATGCGCCTGAGCTAGCTGAACACGATGATGCCAAAATCGCGGCTCTACGGCCATTTTTGGCGAAGCTATTTACCAAAAACCGAACCCGTGCCTTAGATCACTTGACCTGACCTCAGAGGTCACCGGTTGACCTGAGACCCTTACAGCGGGTTCCTACCAGTCACTCTGCATTATAATTTGCCGCATACGACCACTTTACCGCTTAATTCTAGTTTAATTAGCGGTGCATTAGCGAGGTGGGTTCAATCAACCCCCTCGGCCGGGGCAAATGTAGGTCAGTAGAGTGAATTTGAGGAGTTCTGAAGATACGATCGTGTTCCCCACACAATTCTGCGTAAGATGCCGGGTTCCGTATCTACGTAACTTGAACGTAACGGATACGGCGGCCGCAAACGTAAATCGAGGTCCCGAATTCCCTATTCCTCAACACAGGCGGCAGCCGGTTTCTGGTCTGCGCAATATGGCCGCCACCGTTAGACACTACGGCCAATAGGGTTGAAGCGGCATTGCTCCCCTGTGCTTGCGTAAGACGGTTGATCGTTGACGTGCGTCAGAATTGAAGTCAGACTGGCGCCGTCACACGTGGAAGGAGGGCTGTGAATATCGATATTGAGAGTTTATTTAAAATTATATAAGTGCAAAAAGTTTGATCTTGATCTGTAACTATGGCAGAGGAAGAAGCGGTAAGTAGTTTTATTTTCTCATAACCTTTCTAGCTTTTATCATGATGTACATTTAGGACATACCTATCATCGTTCCTTGAGTTTTTGCAAAAAGTTTTATTTGCTTTAAAAAGGCTAGGATGGGTTGTATTTGGCATCTTTGTTGCTTTTGCTTTGTTTTGCCTTATGAGATGGCATAGGCTACTTAAGATACAATTCTTTTTATTTTGTCAATAAATACAAGAAATGAAGTTGAGGCCCAGGCTGGAAAAAATACAGGCTAAAGGCTGAGCTACACTATGTGTGACTGTCCAGGAAATTACGTGCGTGATCTGCAGATCCGTGATTGCGAGACTCCCTTGACATCGGTTTCTGCGATTTTACAGAATTTCCGTGAATTATTGTATGCCGACGTAATAATAACTAGGTAATAAATGTTTTCGCAACAAACGCTTAAGTTTGCTATCTTCTATATTATTTTATTAATTTTGAGTTTATTTGGTCAATAAAACATCAACAGCTCATGAAAATTAATGGAACAATTATTAATTACATCACTTGGATTCATATGGTGCGCCACCAAGTGTGCCAACAACTGTCTCATATCACACAATGATGCAGATTCTGCAAAAAAGTTTGTAGCTCTGAACTTTATATCGGTACGGAACATCCTGACCGTCCTGACTATCCGGCATTTCCTGTACTGAACGTCCGGGATTTCCTTGACTGAATCTGTGTGACCCCAGTGTAGCCGACCCTGTGTATTTCCTATCAGCTGAACTTGACCTGCGTACCGATTTTCTGCAAAACCCGCAAACTTGCAGATCACGGACGTAGGATCCCGCATAGTGTAGCTAGACCTTAAGCCGAATATATCCGGCAAAGTGGCTGGATTGCGCCAAAAAATTCCTTGCATGTCCGGCGTAACATCCCATGTGTCAAATTCCGCGCATGGCGGCCGCTTGATTTTTGCACAGGGTTGTCACAGAATTTTTCGGCAAATGGCGGTTACCTACCAAATTTTTTGGCACGCTGGCTAATCTAGCAGCAGATTCACCATGAGGGCAGCTCTGGAAAGGGCTTGGGATGAGACGCCCCTCGCCCCAATCATTGTGTGCACTGAATCGCGAGCCACCCTGAGTCTACTCAGTGAAGTTGCGGCCGCCCAGGTGAGGCCTCCACCCTTAGCGCGGAGATAGGTATGGAAGACCTTGGTGAACATCGCCGGGTGTAGTGAAGTATTCCTGGATCAAGGGAATGAGAGGAGA